TGCTGGCTCTGGCCACCGCCAGTGCCTCCACGGCCACCACCACCGCTGCCACCTCCTCGACCACCCCAACCCCTGCGGCCGCCTCGTCCACCGCCACCCCAACCGCCGCCTCCACTCCTGCCACCTCCCCCGCCGCTGCCGCCACCACCCCCACCGCTACCACTCGCCCCTCCAGCCGAGCCACCACCCCCACTGCCTCCACCGCCCCCACCGCCGCCTCCCCCGCCGTCACTGCTACCACCCTTGCCCCCCTTGCCCTTGCCGCTGCGGCGCCCGCTCGAGGCAGACGCAGCGCCGACCTTCTCAGCACCGAGAAGGTCGACAGCAGCAGCAGAGGCGACAGAGGGAAGAAGGGGGGAAGGAGAACACCCCTCAAAGAACGGGGTACGAGGGTCGCCACGAGAGGCACCTACAGCGACTATGCTAGCCTCAGCTGCAAGGAGCTCCTTCTCGAGGAGGGCAATGGTGAGCTCAGTGGGGCAACGAGCTAGGAAGTGGTCCCTGACAGCACGCAGTGTGTCAGGGAGGCGGGTGACTAGGTGGTAGAGAGTGAGCCAGAGTGGAGGGGGGTGCGTGGTAAGGAACTCAGCAGGCATGGCGGCACGGAAGCGGGCCTCACTAGTGCGGAGGTGCGTGATGAGGTCAGCGACTGTGTGAAAGGAGGCCAGGTCGGGAAACAGGTAGGGGAGGGAGAGGCGGCCTAGTGCGGCAGAGGCAGGTGAGGAGTAGCGAGCAACGACAGCTGTGTATAGTGCCTGTGCAGTCTTGTGCTGGCCAAAGTGCTCGCGTTCGTCTATCGGCAGGGAGTTGCGAATGGCGAAGCGAGCGTGGGCATCACGAGTCTGCCACTGTGAGCGAGCAGTGCTGTCAGCAGTAGTAGCAGGGGCAGTGACATGGCCTAGGGCGTGATCGTACAGTGAGATGTCATCCTTGGCTGTGAGCTGTAGGTAGAGGTGCAGGTCATCGAGCCAGGTGTCAAACTTCACAGGGCGGCCCTCAGCATCGAACACGAGAACCTGTGGGCTAGCCATAGGAAAAGTAGAAATAGCAGCAGTAGTAGTAGCAGTAGCAGTAGCAGTAGCAGTAGCAGTAGCAGTAGCAGTAGGAGAAGTAGGTAGGACGAACAAGGTAGGGCAGGGCGGTGCGGCTCGGTTCAGGTCGGGTCGCGGCTCGGCTGGGTGGCGCGGCTCGGTTCAGGGCGCGCGGCTCGGCTCGGGGCGCGCGGCTCGGGTCATGGCGGGGACGGGCCGCCCGGTCTCCCTCGTGTGCTGCGGCGGGAACGGGCCGCCCGGGGCCTCTAGGTGGTGGGCACGGGGCCGATCGCGACCTGAGCGGGGCTAGCGCGGGGCCAAACAGGGCCTTAACGGGGCCTGAACGGGGCTAGCGCGGGGCCGACGGGGCCTGAAACGGGGCTAGCGCGGGCCGACGGGGCCTGAGAGGGGCTAGCGCGGGGCCGACGGGGCCTGAAACGGGGCTAGCGCGGGCCAACGGGGCCTAAGAGGGGCTAGCGCGGGGCCGACGGGGCCTAAGACGGGGCTAGCGCGGGCCGACGGGGCCTGATAGGGGCTAGCGCGGGGCCGACGGGGCCTGAAACGGGGCCGACGGGGCCTAAATCGGGGCTAGCGCGGGCCAACGGGGCCTGAGAGAGGCTAGCGCGGGGCCGACGGGGCCTGAAACGGGGCCGACGGGGCCTGAATCGGGGCTAGCGCGGGCCGACGGGGCCTGAGAGAGGCTAGCGCGGGGCCGGCGGGGCCTGAACGGGGCTAGCGCGGGGCCTGAACGGGGCCTTAAAGGGGCCGACGGGGCCTGAACGGGGCCGCTAGGGAGAGCGGGCGTGGGGCCAACGGGGCCTGAACGGGGCTAGCGCGGGGCCGTCAAGAGGGGCCTCTAGGGGCGTGACACGTCGAGGCGCCCTAGGGCACTGGTAGGTAGGTAGGTAGGTAGTTACGTAGTGGTGGGCCCTTAGAAAATTTCGGTCCTAGGAAGGACCTGCTCTATACCATGTTAGAATAACTGAACAGGAATGAATGAACTAGCAGTGAAATGAGTACAAGTACCTAACCCTAGAATTGTGTACCCCCTATAGGCAAACCCACTGTAGCCTAAACTAACACAACATATATATAATGTTTGACAGAGACCACACATCACCCATCACCCCCACACCCGCCACCCCCAGTCCCTCCCCGGGCTCCCCCACACCCTCACACCCTCCCCCCCAGCGGCAGCTGCAGCAGAGGGAGCAAAAGGAGGAGGAGAGGGGAGGGGGGGGGGGGGGGGGGGGGGGGGGGGGGGGGCGACGCACGGCCTCCCCGGGCGCCAAAGCAGGCGGCAGAGGGGGCGACGCCTGCCCCCCCCTTCCAGGTCGCCCCGCGGCCCCCGAAGGAGCCGCGACGGGTGACGGGAAAAGGGGGGGGGGGGGGGCGGTGCACGTGCCCCCGGTGTGCCGCAGCTGGCGACGGGGCATGGCCGGGGCGGGGTCGGGGCCGCAAGTGGGCGGGGCCATAGGTAGGCGACGGGGCCGCACGTGAGGGCGGCGGGGCCGCAACCGAGGGCGGCGACGGGCCGCAAGTGAGGGTGGCGACGGGGCCGAAGCTGAGGGCGGCGTCGGGGCCGCAGGTGAGGGCGGCGATGAGCCGCAGGTGAGGGCGGCGACGGGGCCGCAGATGAGGGCGGCGACGGGCCGCAGGTGAGGGCGGCGACGGGGCCGCAGCGAAGGGTGGCGGGGCCGACGCGAAGGGCGATGGGGCCGCAGTGAAGGGCGGCGGGAGGGCCGCGAAGGGGGGCCGCGAGGGGCCAGAAAGGGCGGCAACGGGGCCGCTAAGAAAAAAGGATAAGGGGCACGCCACGGGGCGTGCCGAACACAGAGTAGCAGCGGAAGCTTTAGGGTGGGCCCACAGGTCAGGATCTTGGTCACTCTGATATCATGTGAAAATCTAGCAAGGCTAAGGAGCCATAGCTAGTAAGTCGAGTGAATTGAGTAACGAGCAAGTTGAAAAGTCGAGAGTGAAGGAGGGTTCAATAAAGAGCAAAGGTACAAAGATATAGGCAAGAACTAGGGTAATGAGGTGCACCACCAAACGGGAAACATAACTACACTAACACTACAGACAATTATATAAATAAGAATAACATATTTCGACATTGTGAACTCCCCTATGGGCGCGGGCGGAACGTCCTTGGTGAACTCTCCCTGCGGGATTTGGGCCAGGGCGTCGAGATTGTAAAGCAGCGGCAAAGTCGACGAGGGGTTACTGGTCGGTGTACGGTCTACCGGGCGGACGTCCTCACCCTGGCTAGCGGGGTTCGGAACGTCCGTCATGTCGACATCGGCGGGCGGTGGGTTGGTTTGCGGCGGTGTCGATCGAGGCTGTCCTCTGGCCATGATACGGCGACCTAGGGCGATGGGAAGTCGGCGTGGTGAGGTCGATAAACTACTAAATGCGTATTCTATGTCGGCGGTATCTGGCAGGTCGGGACAGCAGACAATCCTACGAGAGGTCGGCGACCACGTCTGCCTACTCTCACGACGCCGACGTTACGCGTCCAGAGAAAAAAAAAGCTAAGTGCCAGCTTACGGACGTACACGCACACAGAATAGCAGGCAGAATGAGCGACCATTTCGGGGACCACGGATGGGTATGGTCGTGAGCGACTCCGCACCACTTGGCGCTCCACGCAAACCCCAGTGCAGGACGCCGCCATGCATGTACGCTCGTGCGGCGGCGCCGTGTCCGACGTGCCACCAGGCGTGCATGGCTGCTTGCTTGCAGCTCTTCGCTCATCATACTCTTTTCGTGGTTGCTACACGCTGGCTCTTTCGTGCGGCAACGTGGCGTGGTCCCGAATTAGGTGCAGCTTGGTAGCTCGAGGGCGGGAGACACTGACGAGTGGCACCACGATGATGCTCTTCTGGTCGACGCCGACATTCCCGCAGCATCAGTGTCCACTGCACGTAGCCATAGATAGTGGACGGCCGGATTTCTCCTTGCGCATGTGGGCAACCGTTGGATGAATGCCGTGTGGTATGCACCGACCTTGCCACGTTCATGCGCGAGAATCTCCCACGCGAAGCACCCTAGACCTTCCGTTGGCTCGTCGTGTCCAACCTGGCAGACCTCGGTGGCCCTGCCATCCAGGGGACTATCTCGGGCGTCCCTTTGTGGCCGCGTGGCGATCATCGCGGCCCGACTTGCCGAGCTGGTATTCTGACACGCGGCTGAGACGTCCTTCTCGGGATTGTCTCAGCGGAACTCTAAGTCGACAGGTCGTCGACCATCCCGAGGGCTCATCAACACCTGGCCCAGCCATATAGCCTGGGCTTTCCACGCGGAGGTCGTCGTGGGGTCGTCGACCACGAGGAAGGGGGTTGTCCGTTCTGAACCGCGAAAATGGGCGGCAGTTTTCGTTGGCTGAGCTATACTATGCTGACTCAGTGAAACCAGACAAGCCACTGCGCTCGACTTTCACAACAACCCCCACCCACCAGTGCCCATCTTGCGCAATTTGGGCCTCCAACTTGGTTGCTGCTAGCACGTACAATACAATCAGGGTAAAAAATATACCTACACTGATGTCTCTGGGTAAAGTTTTCAAAACTTCAAATTACACTGATCCATCAATGTTACCAAAAAAGACACACTGCTCAAAAGGGTTTTGAAAATGTCTACACTGCTAATCGTGAGTATGTAAAAACCAAACCTGAGCCCTGGTTGCACCTTTTCATATTCCTTATATCTTAAAAAACCTTTGTATTACCTCGCTATAATCAATCTCTTGCTCTCACACACTACGATAGTGCAAGTTGGTTCAACAAAGTCCACTAAGAACGCTTCCGCAATAACAATATTCCTTCGTAAGGTCTTAGCCTTGAAAGATCCGAAGGCCCTTCGGCGAAGGGCTTTTCTCAGCCCAACAAAATGAACTCCCTAAACATGATAAACTCTAACAGAGGTATTAGAAAGTCCAGATCAGAGGTGGTCCCAAGCAGGTGTACTATGCTAGGAGAGCAACTTGAGGGCAACGTTGGGCGTGAGGAAGGTGTGTGGCAGCGGTTGGCCGGTGACAGGAGACAGGGAGCTGGACGCAAGCCATTGCTGCATGTGGTGCTGCTCGTATGTGAACCCATCTGCTGCTACCACTGGCTCACTGATGGGCGCCTGCACGTCGGAAGAGGGAGGAGTGTTGCAATTGTTTAGCGGTAGATAGAGTTGCAAAAATCACAATCTTTGGTGACATGTCCACATGGCTGATGTGAACTGGGAACAGAACATGAAGAGGCGGGATGAGGTAAAACTTGGAAAGGGGAAAAGGGAGTGATGGGTCGAGGGTGGAGGAAAGAGGGAGTGAGTGCTTCAGGCCATTTCAGGAGGAAATCATCACCTTGGAGAGGGGGCAGAGGAGCTGCCCATGTGTGCCATCTGTACCATGCCACCGAATTTCTGTCCCACGCACTCCATCCGCTCCCACCACTGCTCCCCCTGTCTTTCCTCCTCTGTCTCCTCCCTTCCCTTCAAACTGCCCAGCAGAAGCAGGAGAAGCAGCCGCACCGGGACCACCATTCGCAGCAGAAGCAGTAGCAGACGCAGCAGCAGAGCGAGCAGCGTGAGAACTAAGGCGCATAAGAGCAGGATGCACTTCCGTTGCCAGGTCTGGTCTCAGGCGCCGCTGCCTGCATGCACAGCGCATGGCCAGGGAGGCAAGCGCACGGGCACAAGGAAGCGGCCACGCCCCTGCTGCAGGGTCGAGATGGGATGCGATCATCTCTGCCATGAGAGCCAGGGGACTGCTGGGAGGGGACCGTGCATCGGATGAGGGTGTGGAAGAGTGTGAGGATGCTGCGCTGCTGTGGCTGCTGCTGGTGCTGCTGGTGGTGTTACTGATAGCGCTGCTGCTGGTGGTAGTGTTGCAGATGTGGGGGTTTGTTCTCCCACTGGAAGCTATCACGTCGCCACCCACTCCCCCCATGCCCACAGCCATGTCATAATCTATAATCTCACCCAAGTAACCTCCTCCTCCTCCCCCACCAGCAGCACTCACGGCACTGGCCGAGGCCGATGCCAGTAGCTTGTGCACCTGATTCACATTACTGTACCCCGTTAGCAATTGTAACATTATTATCCCCAGCGCATAGACATCTGAAGTGACTGAGATCTCGCACGTGACCACTTCCTCGGGGTCAATGTAACCAGCAGTACCCCGCACCCTCGCCGTCATATTGCCGCCCGCATCTGCGCTCGTGTCAATCAGCCGAGCCAATCCCACATCAGCTAGCTTTGTCCGGAGGTTCAGATCCAAAAGCACATTGTGTGGCTTTAAGTCCCGATGCGCAACAGGGGGGTCGCTGTGGTGCAGGAACACCAGAGCACCGGCCACTTCGGATAAAATCCGAACCCGGTCCGACCAACGCAGTGCGGGGCGAGATGGGGTAACAAGCTGGGTACCACCGCTAGTGCCATTTCCGCCAACCAGGTAATCCGCGAGGCTGCCGCCCGGAAGGTACTCGTATACGAGGCACATGGCGGCGGGGCAGTGGCCCATGAGCAGCACGATGTGCGGGTGGTGTGCGTGTGAGAGCACTCGCAGTTCCGTGCAGTACTCGTCTGGGCCCTGCCAGCCGTCGCCATCCAGCCGCTTCACTGCCACCTCGCATCCCATCAAATGGCCCTTGTATACCTGCGGAGAAACACGTGAGGGGGGGGGAGGGTGGGCAGGGGAGAGGAACAAGGGGCAGGGGAGAGCGGAGGTGGTGGTGAGGCTTGATGCATTCGCATTCGCGGAACTTGGCGTTTTCGCGTTGCAGGTTGTGCTGGGAGCGATGGTATTGGGACGCTGGAGCCAGAGCTTGATTGGCCACGTTTGCTCCTCTGAATACGCAAGCTACGAGTGGAGAGCGGAAGGGGTAAGGGGAAGGGGAAATGAGGAATGGGGAAGCGGAAAGCGCGAAGGGGGAAGGAGGAAGAGAGAAGCGGGAACACGGCAGGAAGTGCAGCGAGCGGCGAAGACGTCACGCACCCGTCCGAAGGCGCCGCGGCCGAGCAGATTAGCGTCGTCGAAGTTACCAGTTGCCTGCTGCAGCTGCGCCAGCGAGAACCGCCGGCACTCGCTCCTCTCCGCCGCCTCTACTTGCGCCGTTCCCCTGCGCCGAGCCTCTCCCCCATCCGCGAAACCCCCCCAATCGTCCGACGAGCAGTCGCTGTCGTTGTCGCTCCCCCAGGCGACGCTGTCCGCCGCGTCACCGCCTGCGTCGACCGACGGAAGCGCGTCCGCGTTGCGGTCACCGCGGGAAGGAGCATTGTTACCACCAGTGGCGGCGCGGGGTATCGCGTTCCACCGGCGATTCTCTTCTCCCGCGTCGCCTCCTACCCGCACGCGCTGCTCCGCCTCTCCCGCGCCCTCCTCGCGCTCCGGCTCCGCCTCGTCGTCCGTCCAGCCCTCGTCGCTGCTGCTCCCGCCGCTGTTCATCCGCGCGCCGAACACGTTGCCGCCCGACCCCGGCCCAAAGCACTTGGCCGCAGCCGTGGCAACGGGTACAACTCCCGCTGCGCGCATCGCGGCGGCTCCCGCGGCAGCGGCAGCGGAAAGGAAGGGCATGGAGGAGTTGGGGGCGGACGCGGCGCCTCGTCGGGCGACGTTACTTGCGCCAGACGTGCTAATAAGAGAGGAAGCAGTGATAGTAGAGCTCTTGCTTCTGCCAACCGCAGCGAGGGAGACGTTGCCCTTTGCCGCGGCGCCAGCAGCACTTGTAACGACAAAGGTAGAGCTTTTGCTGCTTGTACTCGCGATGGGAACAGGTTCGGTTGTTTTTCCAACCCTGCTCCTTTGCGCGCCGCGCGCAGCGTCTGCTCCGCCTGCGTCGCTCACGCCGCTGCGGCGGCTTGGGCTGGCGGATGGCGCAGCAGCGATGCTGCGCAAGCCGCCCCTGAAACTGCTAGCAGCAGCGGGATCGTGGGAGCGCGGTGGTGTGGCTCGGGCTTTGATCGATGTGGGCCTAGCAGCCGCACTAGTAGTACTAGCCAAAGCAGCATCGCCAGGATCTGCAGTCGTAATAGTAGCAGTCCTAATACAACCTGCAGGCGACGAAGAGTTAGCTTCGCGAGACGAGTATGCGGCGACGGCCTCAGACACCGTGAGAGGCGCGCGCTCCGCTGCCGCCGCAGGGGCTGCTGGTGGCGCAGTCGTGCGGGGAGAGGGGGAAGACAACGCGCGGGCGGAAGGTGCATTGGCGGACGCGTCGTTGGGCGTGGATGAGGCGGTCGGGAGGCTCTTGACGGACCCGCGGGGTTTAGGTCGCCGAGCCGTGCTAGCGCTGGTGACGGCGGCGGAGGCAGTGGCGGTAGAACTGACGGGCGGGGAAACGTCGCCGCCTTTTTTCACGGGACTGGTGGGACTGCAGTCGTTGCCGCTCTCCCGCTGGGAGTGAGACTTCTTGCGACCCCGCGGCTGCTGACCGCTTGACTTGCCTCCGCTACCAGTAGTACTCGTACCACCGCTGCTCCCGCTGCTGCCGCTGCTACCGGCGCTGCCGCAACTCCCGGTGCTGCAGGTGCTGGATGACGTCATCACCGGCGACGATTCGGCTGACTTCACGTCGCCGCCGTGACTCTGCGACGGCGACCTGTCGCTGAACGAACCCATCATCGCAAGAGACACGTCGAGCGGGTCAACGCCCCCGTGCATCGCCACCGCCCGCGCGGCGCACGATCCACCTTCCATCCGCGCGCCGCCGGCCGCGTCGCCCGTCCTTGGTGCTTCTCCGCCGCCGCCCGCCGCGGTCGTCCGCCGCCCGCCCGTGTTACTAATAGTAGTAGCTGCGGCAAGGGGGGGCTTTGATTGAACCAGCGCGAATGGCGAGTCGCACTCGCGGGTTTCACCAGCCCTGGGCGCGGTAACACCGCGAGAAGAGGCGGAAGCGCCGCCGGGAGCGGAGGCGGGTCCGCGCTGCGCGCGGTGGTGCAGCAGATCCAGCGGAAGCACCTGCGAGTCGTCCTCGCGGTGTCCGCGCGGGATGCTCACGGCGAGCTTGGACACCGTGCTTGGCGGGGCGCCATCAGGGGGTGAAAGCGCGGCGGGGAAGTGCTGCGACTGCTCCTCGTGACTGCCCACGCGAATGGAGGGCCTCGTGGCCGCGAATGTCGCCATGCGATGCGCTTACAGGCGAGTCGTGCTTCTCACGCTACGCGATCGGACGTGTCACGCTACGCAATCGCAACTTGGATTGGTCCGAGTCTACCACGGTCCTCGTCGCGACGGCCCCGGCGGGAGACGAGTGGGGCTAAAGCAGCACGAGCAACGCTCGGGTATGGGCTGAACGCAAAGTGCAGTGGATCGACGGGAAGTCGAAGAGTGGCGAATTTGAAGGCGGTGAAGTGCATAACTACAACAAGGTGGGACTGACGTTGGCGTGAATGTGAGTCTCTCTCTCATACAAGTTCGCAGCTAGCGTGACCTTCACGGGGAGATCGGATCAGAGCCAAGACGTACGTGCCATAGAAGAAATGCCTGGTCCGATCGGAAATGAGATTTTCGGATGATCATTTCGAGTGATGCTTTGGGTACTACACCTGTCCCGCGCTAATTTCAGTTCCCGGCAATTTCAACCCCTTGTCTCGACCTGTGGTCCGGGGCCGAGCGCGGTTCGACCCAGGACCTCTCTATAAAGCTCAGAAACGTTTAAAACGCTTGTATCACGGTTTTGGGAATTACGAAACCGAGTGAAAACGCGCTGACTATCGGAACTTCTCTGTTCCCGGCAATTCCAACACAAGGGCTAAACGACAAAGACGCGATTCGGCTCCGAGGTGTTGAAATTGGCGGAGGAGAGGTGTATTCTAAACTGTGCTAGAGTCAAAAGACCTGAGGAGGAGCCGTGGCTCTCATCCAGGGAGCGAGAAATAATCGCGCGACGCGACGATTCTCGATTTTTTCTCAATCCTGTCGACTACCCTCGCACAGCGCTACCCGATTTTTGATATTTCGAAATCCCATGGACTTCTACAATGACTTTCGCGATAAATGGAGAACAACTCTCGACAGAGTTTGTGTCGATTTTTGTTGGACGACACATTTTTTTCAGCCAGGCATGGTTTACCCTGAATACGCAACAACCTTTAAGCTATTTGTTTTTCTAGGCTACAATGTTACATAAGGCGTTATATGAATTAAATTTGACTTATTAGACATTGGTTTTTTATCATATTGGAAATTTGAAAACAGACTAACCTTGATAAAATAGTTTTGAAAACTCCCAAAATATCTAATTAAAGATAGATACTCTGTATTTTTGCTATATAATTTTTCAAATTCGATTTTTCTGAGACAAAACGCGAAATACCTTTGATATTCCTGTGAATTTGTGAGTTGATTTTTTTTGCTAAATCTAAAAGTTGTAGTCCAGACTATATTGTTGTCTAGTCTGATGCAAGAGTCTAGTTGTCTCATTGCGGTTGGTCCTAATATACACTGAAATTGTCTCTACGATTTTGCATTTTTTGAATCATTCCAGCCCTGAATTGTCTACGCAACACATCAATATGGTCACTGCGTATCATAAATGCAACTTCCTCAAAATGACAACACGTACTAATGGGTTGCAATTATTGCATCTGGATAGCGTCAGATTTGTTCTCACCCAAAAGCAAGAAATCAAAAGGATCCGAAACCCTTGAATAGGATATACGCAGAGTTACTTAACCGTGTTTGCAGGTGTAAAGCAAGTTGCGCTCCATGGGATTGAGAAAAATGAATAAAGGGGGAGCGTGAAGCGAGGCTAGTCGACAGGATTGAGCAAAATTTGAGAGTCGTCGCGTCGCTTAATTATTTCGGGTAGCAAAGTCTTGCAGCCAATGGGAGGTCCAGGTGGAGCGAGCGCTGAGTCAGGATACTCATTTCATGCTACTGTACATTCCGTAGCCGCGCGATGGATGCGGGCCGAGAAGCCGCTCCAAGTGAAGCTGTATTTTGTATTTCTGTGGTCTCTCCTCTGACATGCAGGTATGACTGCCCAGCTTGTGGCTGACCAACGAGAAAGGAAAGAATTGATAAGCACAGTGTCCACACATCGAGGATCCGACGGGACGGTACAAGGACGGAGCCTTGTTGATTCATAAATTCGTAACCCACTTGCACAAGAAGGCTATCGGGATTTAATACACAGTACACAAGAGACCAGCGTCTTCATGTGCTTGTGTGAACGGTGCTCGCGCGCTGATCACTCAGAATTTCCACTCATTCCCACAAGAAGCAAGGCTTGAGAGGGAAATACTGTAGAACCATGTTTGCTGATTCTTTCTTACTCGCGTGGTCTTGAATTACTCGAGTGGCCACCAGAATTGGTGATAATTACTCGTGTGGCCACGCCAGGGGATTTCCCCCCGCCCGTTTTTTTTATGCCTACCAAACCGGGCCCAGTGCTTCAATAGTCCCGTCTGCTGCACTACAAGTTACACATCAGCAATTGCAACACGAATCGCGATCCAAGGAGAGTGCGTGGCAGAAGCAATGGATGCTAGATTCTGTACATTCTACAGCACAAAACAAGGCAGGTTCAAGAGGGATCGAGGGAGATGAGAGGAGCGGAGAGGAGTGCTTCAACAATACACCTGGTCCACAAATTTTAACCGCCGCTATCTTAACCGCGCGAGGGTACTTCTCCTTGGTCTAACTTTTGTACAAGAGTAGTTCGGAAATTTAATGAGAGTATAATATAGCATACCCTTTGTGAGATTATGGCAGTCAGAACCCGGTCAATGCCGATCTGCCCTCGATTTCGGATGACTAAGTGTGAGTTTCTTTATGAGGCAATGATTCTGGCTACAAAACAATAGCCTTGAAGTCTCTGGGTGGCCGTCTCCTTACTCGAAAACGAACAAAGGGTGTTTGAAGCGAAACAGTTCACTAGGTTAAAATACCGCGGACTAGGTGTATGGCTGCCTCCCAAGTCGCAGGAAGACAGTTTAATCGCATGGTATGGCATGGCTGGTATGCTGCTGCTGCAAGCTCGGTCCATTCGCTTATGTGCTGTATGCTGTTCTGGTGAGATTCCTCATGCGGATACCACGTTTTACCGTTTTGAAAAGCATAAAACCGAACATAGTTGTAACATGATGGTCAGTGCTGGATGTCGACGAGGTTGGGTAGACGAACTGGTGGTTCGCCTGGATTTGCGGTACAGTAACTCTGTTGTGGTGTGAAGTGCATTGGGGAAAGAAGAGTTTGGGGGAAGGGGGAGGGACTTCTGTTCTGACGGGGAAGGCTGTGGATTGGTCTGGGGGTCCAGCCCGAACGAAGCTGAGCGGGCCAAAAAAAAAAAACACCTGAAATATCTGGGATGCGGTCTAAGCCGGCCCCTAGATTCAGGGCAAATTTATTTCCGGCTATATGGTTTTTCATGCGTAAAGTGCCACCAATTTTCGAGCAGACAGTACTAAGGGAGCGGTTGGGGAGGAGGGGGGGGGGGGGGGGCGCTGGTGTTGCTTGGAGGAAAGGGACAAATTCGCGGTTAAAGAGGAAAGAGGGGAGGTGTAGAGGGGGAGGTACGGGGATCTGGGGAGGTCCGAAAATTTCGTTAGGATTCAGGGCAAGGAAAATCCGACCCTTCAATTTTCCTCACTGAGCTGAAATTAATTCTGAATAATCAGGGAAAATGAACGAATGTCCGTGATTCGACAGCCCTGGTTACGAAGCGAGTCTGGCCTAGAAAAGCGCACACCACCCATCGCTAAAGCTGCATTTGTTTTTCCGCCACTGTTCAGCTCCGCAATGTCGGCCGACTTCACCGCCACTCTCTTTTGTCGCTTTTAAGGCATGCCTCACGTCCACTCATCCCTGCGCTTCGAAAAAACGGCTGTGAGGAAACATCGTGAATTTTCGAGGCGAAGAGATGAGTGGACGTGAGGCATGCCTGAAAAGCGACAAAAGAGAGAGGCGGTGAAGTCGGCCGACATTGCGGAGCTGAACAGTCGCGAAAAAAAACAAATGCAGCTTTAGCGATGGGTGGAGTGCGCTTTTCTAGGCCAGGCTCGCATCGTAACTGGTGTGTACTGTATACTCGCTCCACGAACCGCGCCTCACTTGATATCCCTTCACTCCATAAGAGCGTGTCTGAAGTGAACGTCGACATTCCTCGACGAAACTTTGAGGGATATCGAGGAATCCTGACGGTTGGAACTCTCGATCCGAGGGTTGACACTCACCGAGATCCTCGACGAAACTGTACATTCGTCGACGTTTCACTTCAGACACGCCCTAACAAATCCAGATTCTATCCTTCAAGCTAGAACGCCACTTCTCTGATTTGGCTGGTTTGGGTGCTGGCGAGTGTTTCCGATTACGTGAAATTCGTTTTTCGTCAAACCCAGCCAGCTCTTCGTTTCTACACTGGTGGGTGTGTCAGATCTCAAGAGTCCCGAATTGCAACTGCACTTCTTTTCAAAGCTTGCACAGCTCACTTGTCAAGTTTTAAAAACTTGACCCGCGCGGACCGCAATTTGGTCCGCGGGCTTTAAAGCCAGCAGGCAAAATAGTGACCCCCGTCCCAGTTTGAAATAGCCCTGCGAAAAGCTCTAGGGATTGTGCTTACACAACACTGATTCAAACAACCGAAAAGTTCAGATTGAATTGTTCTGATTGGCTATCACCAACATGAGAACTTTGTTGGCTCCCGCCAAATGAATTTTGGGGCCCATGTCAACCGTCGCACGTCTACGTGCTGCACCCTCACGACCGATGCAAAGCGATCGTTTTGGTCGCCCGGCGAACTTCAGAATCAAGCTGGAACTAGGTTCACAGCTCCCTTTTCTCATCCCGTAGTCGCTACTTTCTTTCCTCAGTAAAGCTGAAATAGTAGTCACTTGCGCCCTAGGCACGCCATTTGTAGACTGGGTTTGATAGTGGCATGTAGGGACTTAGCTTGGGTGCGTAATATAGTAGTACGTGACTTGTCGTTGCGAGGCGCTGAAGTATGCAGGAACGGTAACAACGCCGTTATTGATGTCACTCTGGACAGAAGCATAGGAGACGCAACGAAGATCAACACCAATACCGGTAGCAGCCGTTTTTGGGGACAGCCGCAACAGCCCACGATTAAACGGTGTTCAACGTACCACCCCGACAATTTCGGAGGTGTGTGGTATAGGTCGCCG